GCTGGAGTGCAATGGCGCGATCTCGGCTCACCGCAACCTCCGCCTCCTGGGTTCAGGCAATTCTCCTGCCTCAGCCTCCTGAGTAGCTGGGATTACAGGCACGTGCCACCATGCCCAGCTAACTTTTTGTAGTTTTAGTAGAGATGGGGTTTCACCATGTTGACCAGGATGGTCTCGATCTCTTGACCTCGTGATCCACCCGCCTCTGCCTCCCAAAGTGCTGGGACTACAGGCTTGAGCCACCGCGCCCGGCCCTGCCCTTTGTTTTCTAACACCCTCTGTCACTGGTTAACCTGTTCTCCAGCAGCTTGTGCATTTCATCTCTGTCCCCAGATCAGGAGTCTGATCCACCTGTCAGCTCTATAGTACGCCCAGCACAGGGCTGGAAACACAGCCTAGATCCAAGAAGATATGGGGTGTGTGTGTGGGTGTGTGTGTGTGTGTGTGTGTGTGCATGCAAGAATCTTGAGCCCAGAGAGTGTGTCTGACCTGGGCTTCTAGACACCTCCCTTCCCCAGTCTGGGTCCTGAGTGTCCAGAGTCTCAGTGGATAGAGGAGGGGCCTGCCCTGGCCAGTGCACCCCCACACACCCTCCGGCTAGGACTCAAAGCGGCTTCGGAGCTGCCTGAACTTGGACTTGTTGTACTTAGTGATGAGGTCCAGTTTGCTGTGGCCCAGGGTCATCCGTTTCTCATCCTTCACCAGGTCATTGTTACCACCATTGAGATGGCCACCCTTGGGACCCCCAAGGAGGCCAGGCTCGGGTCCCTGCCTGGCCCCCTGCAACTGATGATACTTGGTGATGAGGTCCAGGTTGCTGTGGCCCAGGGTTAGCCGTTTCTCATCCCCAGACCCCACCCCAGCTGTGCAAGCAGGGCTTGGTATCGGGAGACCACTGGGCCCAGGCCCTTCACCCCGGAATGGGCCAAACTTTGTGATGAGGTCCAGCTGGCTGTGCCCCAGGGTCTGCCGTCGCTCATCTGGATTCTGTCTGGCAAGTCTGGCTGAGGAGCTGGCTTCAAAGGGCACTCTGGAGCCCTGGGCCTTGGGGCACTGCACCAGGAGGTCCAACTGGCTATGGTTTAGGGACAGCCTTCTGTCCTCCAGGGCCCGATCACCAGGTCTGGGGGAACATGCCTCAGGGGCACCCCCAGTACCCAGGGCTCGGGGCAGGAGATCCAGCTGGCTCTCTGCCTGGCTTGGGGATAACTTCCTGTCCTCTGGGGCCTGCTGTCCAGGCCGAAGGGGGCCTGAGTTGGGGGTAACCCCAGAGTCAGGGTCTCCCACTTCTCGGGCTCGGGGGAAGGGGACAAGGAGATCCAGCTGGCCACGACTCTGACTAGGAGATGCTTTCTTCTCCTTCTCCTCCACTTTCTCCAGGGCTGTGCCAGGTACCCATCGACCCCGCAAGGGGCTAGGGTCTTGGCTTCCTGGGAGCCCATTCCCTGGGAACGGGGACAGAGCTGGGACACCCCGATGGAATTGGAGGAGGGGCCGGGAGCGAGGAAGCAGAGGTGACCCCACTGCCAAGGTCAAGGGGCTGGTACTATTATGGTTGAGGGCAGGGGAGGATTGGGACCATGGGTATGCCCCTAGTTTGCCCAGGTTGGCCCTATAAAGCCCAGGAGGGGAGCCGTGGTTAGGGTCTGACAGCTGGCGATGCAGGGAGGGCTGGCCACTGGCCTCACGGCGGGCGGGGCCTGGACACGAGGACCCCATACCCGTGTCACTGCAACCACCACCTCCTGGTAGAGCGAGGTAGGAGGAGTGGCCCATAAGTGGTGACCGCTTGATGCTGCTGAGGCTGCTGCTGGAGGGCGGTGAGGATGTGGGGCTTGGGATGCCAGGCCCAAAGGCCAGGGCCACAGGGGGAGGACGCAGTGCCCGGGGAGGCAGCGGGTCCTCGCCACCGCAGAAGCCCTCCACAGGCCGTGACTCGGCGTACAGACAGCGGAACTCCCGGTCAAAGTCTTCCACGATGCAGCCCCTCAGTTGCAGCACCATGCTAGTATGGGCCTGGCTGCAAAGCCAGGTGAAGCTGGGGGCAGAGGTACGGGGGGTCAGGAGGCAAAGTACAGGACCCTGGGGGTCGGCAGGAATCACAGCCAGGGACACATACCAGGTCCAGCATGCTGGACCCAAACCCCACCACCATGAGGGCTCACAGCAAAGGGGCAGAGCTTCAACTCCAGAGTCTGTGCTTGCCCTAGCCCTGCTTAGTGGGCCTGGGAACTCAGCTGTCCTCAGAGCTCCAACTTCCCCATCTGTAAAATGGACTTGGGGGAGGTTCCCTGAAGTTGCTCCAGTTCAATGTGCAATAGTCATTTTCTTTCTTTTTTATTTTTTTGAGACAGAGTTTCCCTCTGTCTCCAGGCTGGAGTGCAGTGGCGTGATCTCAGCTCACTGCAACCTCTGCCTTCTGGGTTCAAGTGATTCTCCTGCCTCAGCCTGCCGAGTAGCTGGGACTACAGGAGTACACCACCACGCCCGGCTAATTTTTGTATTTTTAGTAGAGACAGGGTTTCACCATGTTGGCCAGGATGGTCACCATCTCTTGACCTCATGATCTGTCCACCTCGCCCTCTCAAAGTGCTGGGATTACAGGTGTGAGCAAATGCGCCCAGCCAGTAGTCACTTTCTATCCAAGGGTATTAAAGTGATCATTCCCCTAGAGTGAGCTCCTCCGGGGCTGACTTGCCCCACACCCTCCCCTGAGCCCGGCTTGATGCCTGGCACATGACAGTTGCTCAGTCCGGGTCCAAAGGGGTGGGTGAGCGGAGGGAAGCCCACAGCTGCCAGCCCGTGACACAGCCCCAGGCCCCTCTCGTCCCCTCGTGCCTGCTTACCTGTAGCTGCCCACCACCACCTGCTCACAGTCAATGAGGACAAACTTCTCCAGGGCTTGCCCGGTGAAGCGACGGCCAGCCTTGCTGCAGTATGTGTCCCCACATGTGCTCCGCACACGCATGTTCTGGGTGGAGGGAGGCTGGGGTGAGCTTGAGAGAGTGAGGCTCAAGCCATGTCTCTGCCCCATGGGGTCTCTAACCCCAGACAGCTAAGAGAACCCAACCCCACTCCCATTGCCCCCCAGTGCTGATGGCCACCCACTGGCTCCTCCACCCTCCCTGACTCCCCGCCCTCACCCCCAGTTACTGCCCTTGGTCCTCACTGACCGGCAGGTGCCCCCCATTGAGGTCCATCTTGTAGCACATCTCCAGGAAGTGCCTCAGGTGCTCCTGGGCCAGGAGCAGGTACACAGGGACACCACGCCGGCTGGAGGCCTCCATGAGGTCACACAGAAGCTCCATGTCCGTGAATATGTCCATCACCACAGCGACCACCTGGGTGTGGAGAAGCACATGAAAGCTCAGCGCTGCCCTGGGCACTGCCCACATCCAGCCAAGCCTGGGGCAGGAAGCTTTGCCCCAGGAAAAGAGCACAGGACTGAAAGTCAGGAGGCCAGAGCCTTCAAGAGCAAGTGAACCGGAAGGGCTCTTAGCAGTGACCTAGCCCAGGGCTTCTTAACTTGGGCACAGGGACATTTGACTGCCTTCTTTTTTTTAAAAAGTGTCTGTCTTGCTCTGTTACTCAGGCTAGAGCGCAGTGGTGTGATCATAGCTCACTGCTGCCTAGAACTCCCAGGCTCAAGGAATCCTCCCAACTCAGCCTCCCAAGTACCTGGTATTACAGGCATATGCCATTATGCCTGGCTTTTTTTTTAAGACAGAGTCTCACTCTGTTGCCCAGGCTGGAGTGCAGTGGTGTGATCTTGGCTCACTGCAACCTCTGCCTTCCGGGTTCAAGTGATTCTTGGGCCTCAGCCTCCTGAGTAGCTGGAATTACAGGCATCCACCACCATGCCCAGCTGATTTTTTGTATTTTTAGTAGAGATGGGGTTCCTACTATGTTGGCCAGGCTGGTCTCAAACTCCTGACCTCAGGTGATCTGCTCACCTCAGCCTCCCAAAGTGCTAGAATTACAGTCAAATCCCAGCCCAGATTTGACTGTTGAACCCCTAGCTGTTTGAAAGCATTTCTGTGAATCTTTCCATGCACCGAGTGTTATCTGTCATCAGAGTCTCAAAGATGACTGTGGGCTGGGTGTGGTGGCTCACGCCTGTAACCCCAACACTGTGGGAGGCTGAGGTGGATGAATCACCTGAGGTCAGGAGTTCGAGACCAGCCTGACCAACATGGAGAAACCCCATCTCTACTAAAAATACATAAAATTAGCTAGGCATGGTGACGCATGCCTGTAATCCCAGCTACTCAGGAGGCTGAGGCAGGAGAATCGCTTGAACCTGAGAGGCAGAGGTTGCGGTAAGCTGAGATTCCGCCATTGCACTCCAGCCTGGGCAACAAGAGCAAAACTCCATCTCAAAAACAAACAAACAAAACAAAACAAAAAAAAACAAAGATGACTGTGGATCGGCTATGTTAGTCCAATGCCCCCTCTTCACTGAGCCCCAGATGGGACAGCAATGAGGCAGTGAGAAGCAGAACCCAGATTCTGATTCCCAGGCAAGCTCCTTGCACTTTCCCCACAAACTCCAGCCCAGGGACTATCTGAGGCTTCCTTCTTCAGGGTCAGAGCTACAAGCCACTTACTGGGGTCTTCACTGCCCTTCCCTAACCCTGGCTCAGTTTCCCTGTGAAGCCACAGAGGTCCGGTGTGGTCCCTTACACTGCAGACCCCTTTACTTGCACCCATGCCAAATGGATCCAAGTTTTTTGCAGTTAAGGGCTCGGCTGGGCCTTGTGCTTCCATCCCATATAAAGGGCTGCCTCAAAGAGGCCCCTGAAGCCCTCCTGGCACCTCCAAGCCCCCAGCTGGCCTTTCTTCCCATGGCATATATCTGCTGTGAGAATCTCCTCTCCCAGGCAGGGCGGAGAGGCAGGAGGTACAGAGCACAGCACTCCAGCTCTGGAGCCAGACAGAACTGAATTCAAACCTGGACTCTACCACTTCCTAGAGATACAGCTTTGTGTGAGTCGCTTCACCTCTGGAAGCCTCAACTTCCTCATCTGTGAAATGGAGATAAAGATAGCCATGTCTCAGAGTTATGGGGAACTAAATGTGAAAATGCTCAAGACATAACAGAGCTCTACAAACACTAGGATGCAGGGAAATGCAGCATTTCCCAAGGTTACTAGGAGTTGTGACAGCCCAGTGCTTGAGCCTGGTTCCTGGCCCAGCATAGAGGGGTCTAAATGGGGGCCGAGGAGGCGGGGCACTGGGGGATGCCCTAGTTCACAGCACAGGCCCAGCCAGGGGTGGGTGAATAAGGACAGGCAGGAAAGATCAAAGAGGCAGGGGTGAGGACAACAACAGCAACAGTCTCACTAATAACCCCATTCCTGATGCCAATCAGGCCTGGCCCTGCCCTGCCTGGGGCACAGGCAGCCTTGCCAGGGAGACTCTGGAAGTACCAGTGGGATCCCAGCATCCTAGCTTCCCATCTCTGCAGCAGGAGCCTAACCCTACCTCCAACCCTGCCAGGGGTCATTCTGTCCATTCCCTTGTCTCCTGAGCTGGAGGCCAGGGCTCCAGAAGTGAAGCTGTGCTCGTGTGTGGCCGGAGCCTTCCTGGGTGCTGACCACCCTACCTGCCCTCCCAGTTCTCTTTCTCCTGAGCTCCTGCTCCCCATCACTGAGCCCAGAAGCTCCTCTCCTCCTTCCTCCTTGGTTCTGAAACCCAGCCCTCAGGGCCATGAGGAAGAGGCCCACATGCCAGCCCCCTCCCCTGCTTCAGGCCCAGCTGCAGATGTGGTACAGGAGGGCGGGTAGCAACTGGGGACCTGAGCCAGCAAGGAGGGCCGCGACTGCTCCCCAAGGCCCGAGTTGGAGACCCCTGTCTCCCTGAGCCCTGAGCTCTATGTCACCATCTGGACCTCTCTGGGCAAGTCCCAAGCCCCTCTCTGGGCTCAGTTTCTTCTTCTATAAGTTAAGGAGGTAGCTCAGATGTTCCCCAAGGCTGGAGTTCTTAGTGTGAGAACCATAAAACTTTCTGGGAATCTGATAAGGGAGTGGACCATCTTCCAAGGTAAAGATGCAGCAAGGACTCCTCCCTCCAACCTGCACCATTTCACGTGCATTTCAGGGGGGCTGTAGAGTCCCTGATGCCCATGCCCTGTTCTATGCTCATCCATACTACTCTTGGGTACCAAGCACTTGCCAAAGTAAATATGGGGTGCCTCCTTCTAGGAGCTTGCGATCTAACAGTGCCAGAGGTACTGGTTCTTATTCTGCCCCTAAGTCACTGTGAGGCCTTGGGCTGGTCCCTTCCCTCTCTGGGCCTGTTTCCTCCTCTGTAAGATAAGTGATGAAGAGATGAGGTCCTTACCATGCGGGCCTGGCTGAAGAGGAAGCGCAGCAGGTCCTTGATATTCTTCGCCTTGTCCCTCTGGAAGTGGACCACAGCCTGGGTGGGGCTGAAGCCTGTGGCCTGTGGCACCTCCGGCCAGCCCAGGTCCAGATCCGGGGGATCTATATCAGAGGCCGTGGGGAAGTAAGTGCCTGAGGTGACTTCGGAGAGCAGGCTGAGACGGTCTGGCCCCGAGGCCTCCTGTCCCTGTCCCTGGGCCTCGCTGAGCTCAGGGCCCCCGCGTACATAGCTCGTCATGTAGTCCACATCCAGAGTGCTCAGGAAGGGCAGCTCACGCTCCTCGGAGATGACCCGCAGGTAGGCAGCCTCACCCCTCTCCAGGAGGGCGTCAGCCGCCAGCCGGGCCACCTCGCTGTGCTTCAGCACCAGCGGTGAGCTCTCCCGCCACCACGGCCGCTTCAGCTCCTCCACCCGGCCCCGCAGGGGCCCCGCCATGCCCTGGGCTCCCAGGCCCCCTGGCACTGAGCCTCCAAACATGCCTGCCCTGTGGCTGCCTCACCCGCCGGCAGGCCCCATGGCCTGCATGCTGGGCTGGCTGCAGCAGGAAGAAGAGAGCAGCAGAACCGCCTCCTGCCTGCCCGCCTGCTCACTCCGTGTGTGGCAGGGCCCCCAAACTGTTGCCACCCTAAGTCAGAGCCGCGCTCCGCCCCATTGCCCCTGGCCTCTGGAACCTGTCAGGTCAGCCCCACCTGTCTGCCTGTGTTGGGACTCGCCTGCCCAGGAAGCGGCAGTGCCAAGGCCCTCCATGCACACTCCTGCCTCCGTCTCTCTTCCTTCCCCAGCAATGCCGCCCCGTTCCCACCAGGCTCCTAGCAAGTCTCCAAACACTGACTTCCTGAGACCCACAGAGGTTGAGTTATAGCCGAGAGGGGCCCAGGTGTGCTCAGGAACACGCACACACACACGCGCACACACATACACACTCCAAGACACCCAGGAAAAGATGTGAACACACAAGCAGGTATGCGGACGGACATTCTGACAACTCTCTCATAGACAGAGACTGTGGGCTGACACAGGCAGACCACAAATTTTCATCAAATCCACTTGCATAAACTCACCCAGATGCTGATTTAGAGACCGGCCATGACCATAAATCACCCAAATGCTGATTTAGAGACCATCCACTTACCATGGTGGATAGCAGGAACCTTGGCTCACATGCGCAAGGCCCTAAATCAGAGCTGAACGAGCATCACATGGAATATCCAAGGACATCAACACCTATCTGTCCCGCAGCCAGCCCTCTTTTTGCTCCTATAATCGTCCTGCTACTCTCCACCATCTTAACTGTGGTGCTCACAGCCCCCTGGCTCTCTCCCACCCCCACCTGGAACTGTCCTGCAGGAACCTAAAGCAGTGGCTCTCACCCTGACCCCAGGGATGGTGAGAGGTGATAAAATGCAGATCAGTGGGCTCCACCCGCCTGGAGATTCTCATCCAGAAGTTCTCCGTGGCTTCTGGAACTTGTCTTTCTTTTTTTTTTTGAGACAGAGTTTTGCTCTGTCACCCAGCCTGGAGTGCAGTGGCACAATTCTCGGCTCACTGCAACCTCCGGCTCCCAGGTTCAAGCAATTCTCCTGCCTCTGCCTCCCGAGTAACTGGACTACAGGCACGTACCACCAGACCTGGCTAAATTTTGTATTTTTAGTAGAGACAGGGTTTCACCATGTTGGTCAGGCTGGTCTTGACTTCTGACCTCAGGTGATCTGCCAGCCTCGGCCTCCAAAAGTGCTGGGATTACCAGGAGTAAGCCACTGAGCCTGGCATCTTTTTCTTTTTAAGATAGGGTCTTGCTCTGTCACCCGGGCTGGAGTGCAGTGTGCAACCACAGCTCACTACAGCTGTGCCTCAGTTTCTCTGGACTCAAGTGATCCTCCCACCTCAGCCTCCTAAGTAGCTAGGATTACGTGGGCTACCATACTTGGCTAATATTTAAATTTTTGGTAGAGATGGAATCTCACTATGTTGTCCCGGCTGGTCTTGAACTCCTGGACTCAAATGATCCTCCTGTCTCACTCTCCCAAAGTGCTGAGATTACAGGTGTGAGCTACCACACCTGGCCATTTTTCTTTTTTAATTGAGAAACGATCTTGCTGTGTCACCCAGGCTGGAGAGAGCAGTGGTGTGATCATAGCTCACTGTAACCTAGAATTCCTGGGTTTTTAAACAAGTGCCTTTTAAGCAAGTGCTCAGTGTACTGTGGGCAGTGGACTAAGGCCCACCCAAGACACACTGTTCCAGATGGCTGTGCTTGCAACGCCCTTGACTCCAGGGGTGTTCTTGGCCTGGTGGCAGCCAGACCCCAGCCTTCCTCCCCTCCTCCAGGGCTGAGTATTAAAATGGTTGAAAGCTGGCCGGGCGCGGTGGCTCACGCCTGTAATCCCAGCACTTTGGGAGGCCGAGGCGGGTGGATCACGAGGTCAAGAGATCAAGACCATCCTGGTCAACATGGTGAAACCCCGTCTCTACTAAAAATACAAAAAATTAGCTGGGCATGGTGGTGCGTGCCTGTAATCCCAGCTACTCTGGAGGCTGAGGCAGGAGAATTGCCTGAACCCAGGAGGCGGAGGTTGCGGTGAGCCGAGATCGCGCCATTGCACTCCAGCCTGGGTAACATGAGTGAAACTCCGTCTCAAAAAAAAAAAAAAAAAAAAAAAAAAAATGGTTGAAAGCTTATTTCAGAAACTGCAAGGCCGGGAGACAAACAGGGCAGGCAGATTTTTGACCCCTGCCCTGGCAAAGACCAAAATCCCAGAGCATGTACTCTGTGTCCTTAGGAGGACGGTGAGCAGTTTTGCTCTGGGGAAGAGGGTGAGCAGGTGGCAGCTGCAGCTGGGGAGCCAGGCTAGGCAGAAGTGGTCACCACCTTTCTACAGAGGTATGAGGTCCAGCGAGGACAGCAGGGAGTGCTGGAGACCTAAAGCCGTGTCTCACAGCCCTGTTTAGCACTGAGCATACTTGGTTCATCTGGTCTGCGATCATGTCCAGAACACAGGGTCTTCTGTGTCCAAAGAACTTTACACATGCATAGTGGGAGGGAGGTTGGTGGGATTTAGAGGCTCCTCGAGTTGAGCTGAGCCTTAGGACCAAAGATAAACAGGACTGGGGCTGTGTCTTTGAGGACCCTACAAGTGAAGGGCCTGGGGAGGTGTGGGGGGCCACAGGTCAGGAGTTATGGCCCACCCCATCCCATCCCAAGTGCAGGAGCACCGGGCACACCAAGGAGGCCCTTCCCTGGGGGTGAGGAGGCTGCAAGAGGGGTAGGAGGTTGAGTAAAGGAAGCCAGATCATGGGAGGGTAATGAACTGCGGGGGCAGCCGAGGTGGCAGGGCCCTCATTAGGGCTTTATCTCCAGATTTGTTTGAAAAGGAGGACCAACCAGGGCCTTATCTATGTGGGAGAAGTGCTCCCAGGAGGGAGGGAGGCCTGTTTGCATGTTGCTGAGTTAGTTGTGTTTATCCTGCAGTGAGTGTGTATATATCTATTTCAGCTACACGTCTTAGGCTTTGTATCTTTTAATTGTGGTAAAATACACATAAATTTTGCTTTTAAAAAAGATTAGTGGCCCGGGCGCAGTGGCTCATGCCTATAATCCCAGCACTTTGGGAGGCCGAGATGGGCAGATCACCTGAGGTTGAGGGTTTGAGACCAGCCTGGCCAACGTGGTGAAACCCTGTCTCTACGAAACATACAAAGATTAACTAGGCATGGTGGTGAGCGCCTGTAATCCTAGCTACCAGGAGGCTGAGGCAAGAGAATCACTTGAACCCAAGAGGTGGAGGTTGCAGTGAGCTGAGATTGCACCATTGCATTCCAGCCTGGGTGACAGAGCAAGGCTCCATCTAAAAAAAAAAATTAAAAAAAAAAGAACTAGAGATGGGGTCTCTGTTGCTCAGGTTACTCTCAAACTCCTGGCCTCAAGTGATGCTCTTCCCTCTGCCTCCCAAAGTCTTGAAAATTACAGGTGTGAGCCACTGCACCAAGCCAAAATCTGCTATTGTAACCATTTTTTTTTTTTTTTTTTTTTTTTAGACAAAGTCTGGCTCTGTTGCCCAGCCTGGGTTGCTTCCCTTTGGCTATTGTAAATAAGGCACAGGTGTACACATTTGGCTTTGTATTTTTATATACGTCTTCAAACACCCAAGTTTGTACTAGATTCCATTTTTGTACGTAAGAAACCATTGAATATTGTCAATTTCATATGGTTTGGCTAAATGCATAGGTGTACCTATGCATAACCGTACCTGTGCCTGTGTGTGCACATCCAGTCTGTGATGTTTGTGTGCCTGCGTGGCACAGCAGTGTGTGTGGACCTGTGTGTGCGTGTGTGTCTGGGCAATGGGATAGTCCTTGAGTCAGACTCTGCGTTGCAGTGCTGGGGCTGTGTACAGGGAGCGCAACAGAGAGGAACAGGGGCAGGAAGACTTAGTTGAAGGGCAAAGGGTTCCAGTGGATCCCTGACATCTGATAATACGTTTGTGCAAATCAAATACAATTCCCCAGGGCTGTGGGACCAGCTGCCCCTCCCTAGGCAGCCCCTCCCTGTGAGCTGAGTTTGTCAAGGGCAATGGGAGGGCAGACAGGTGGCTCCCGGCCTTGGGGCTGGGCCTAGGGGTGGTGGCCCAGGGTGATGGGAGCCATCCAGGCAGACCCAAGCCCTGTCCCTGGCTGCAGTGTCTCAGGCGCAGGCCCCTTAATGACTGTTATTGAGGAAGGAAACTGTTTTCCTGTAGGAGGTGTGCCAGGCGCCTGCCTGGCATCACTCAGCTGTCCTGGGGGCCACACGGCCTTGTCTGCTGTCTCTCACAAGCCAAGTGGCATCTGGGCCAGTGATGTCGTGTGGGTGTGGGGAGCTGAGGCTGGGCTGGAGCCCTCCAGGTGCAGGCGACTCTGAGCCCAGTGCTGCCACATACCTTTCCTCTGGCGCCCCAGGTCAGAAGGGACAGGGTTCCCACAGCTAGGACTGGTAGGGGAGCCAGAATGCGCCCAGATCCCTTGAATCAAGGCGAAGCGACCCAAGAGCCAAAGATGTAAAGGGACATGTGCTGAGGAGTCCCTGAGGCTGGCTTGAGCCGAGTGGCAAAGGGTGAGAAAGATGTCAGCTGCAGAGTGGCAGGACACGCCCAAGGAAGGCAGGTGGGGGCCGTGGTGCAGGGGACGATTCGAACAGGAAGGCTGGAGCTGCACTAGGAAGAGCTTGAGGGCCTTCTCAGGTGCTGGTTTCTTACCTAGCGTTAATACTGCAGAGGCTGGGAAGACTCCAGAGCAGGATACGTCGGATATCCTACATATCCTAGGACAACGTAGAAACCGCTCCAATGGGGAGAATGGGCCAAAGCACCAGCCCCAGAAACCACCCTTGTGGGTTGAACCCACTGTGGTTCACTGTTCACTGAGTGTGACAGAGCTCTTATCTCATCCTGACATCCCAACGGCTGGGGACACAGCACTGGGCTGTTTGTGCCACTGGACTGAGTCAGACCCCCTGGTAGGAACACAGGCTCTGCCACTTAATGGGGGAGCTGAACAATCACAACTTCTCTGAGTCACGGTGGCTGACTGTAGAGTGAG